GGCTGACCCCTATGAGGCGGAAGTCAGACGTGCCTCCACTTTCCAACCTTTTTACCAATTCTGACGCCAGTTGTCCCTCCCACGGCACTGTCTGCTTCTCTGCTGGGTTCGGTAATCCGTTGTAGTGGCCGCACAGAACTCACAGACCACAGTTAGAGTTAAGTGGCTTATTAAGGAACAAGGGACAACTCAGGATCAGGAAGCATGTATACCAAGGTTCCCTTCTTCAGTGCAGGGCGGCTCTGTCAGCTGCTCGTAGCCTCCTGAGGACAGGCTCCTGTTGGCCCTGCCATCTGTCACAGCAGGGTGAGCCTTTCACCGTCTTCAGAATTACAGCCCTTGACTCGCGTTACAACTCTTAGGAGAGTCATTGCTTCCTCTCTCTGCTGCTGCTTCCTGCTTCTCTCTGTCTGCCCAACCTCTGTGGGGCTGGTTGCATGTATACACACACACACACACACTCCTTCTGAATTTCAAGGCCAGGCCTCTCCCAACAGGGTCCACAAATTGACCAGTCCCCTCTGTAGGCCACAGTCAGTTCCTTTGCAAAGTGGGCACAGCTGGGTTACAGCTCACCTCATTTGCATTTTCTACTGACCAATCCCTACAAAGTGCATGGTAATCGCAGAGCAGGCTGCAGCCCAGTCCAGGCAGAAAGTATCAAACCACGTTGTTTACAGTTCACCCAGGAAATGTCAGTCAACATTGACAAAGGCTTAGGAGGAAAATCTCTCAAGCTGTTTTTCCAGAGAATGGAGGCAAAGGGCCACGTGCAGGAGCTCCTTCCACCACAGTGGGGGAAAGCAGAGAGCAAAATGCATCTGGTGGGGTGCAGGGCCCTGACTTACAAGGCAGTTCCAGTCCGCCAACTCCATCCTAAGTCGGTTCTGACTTAAGTCACATACTGCATTTCTTTTTCCATTATTAACTGTCCTTTATTATCAACATCTTTATAAATACGATCTTTATTTGTCGTTAGGGGTTGCAAACATTACAGTGTACAGATGTGATGACATCAGCAGAGGACATGTGCAACACTGTATGCAGTACATATTACTAACAGACTCAAAAACCAACCAAGCTCACTGACATCAGGTGGATTCCAACTCATAGCGACCCCCGCTGTGTTTCCCAGGCTGTAAATCTTTATGGAAGCAAACTGCTCCATCTTTCTTCCATGGAGTGACTGGTGGGTTCAAATCACCAACCTTCCAGTTAGCAAGCCAATTCCTTAACCGCTACACCACTGCTGTTGTTATGTGCCATGGAGTCGGACCCAACTCATAGCGACCCCTCCTTGGGTTTCCGAGGCAGTATCACTA